AAAGAAGAAACAAAGCTAAGTGCTAAATAAGAAAAGCTTTGCTAATTAGTGTTTTTTGTGAGCTTTCTTTAGATTGTGCTTTATTTTCTTCTTCTTGGGATCATTAGAGTTATCTTGGATACTCTTTTTGTTCAACATTCTCTTGACAAGGCTTTTCCACTGTGATGCAGAGGGAGTGGCTAGTTAGGTTTTTACACCATGTAGCTGTGACATTGCAGTACAGTTCTGCTACTTTCGCTTGATAGACATAAGTCACAGTGCTCTGCGGAGCTAACTTATCTGTCTCCTTTTCCTTGCACACACTTTCTCAGAAGATGGTGATTTTGGACTGGAAAGGGGTGAGGACTGAAGAACTTGATGAGACATTGTCAAGAGGAAATGAGATGCCTCATCTGCTCCACCCGAATTTCATCAACACGATTAGCTCTCGCTTTTTTAAAGAAGTATGAGATCAACAAAACAGACTCACATGCTATCTTGAATAATAGGTTTATTGTAGCTGGTCAAAATTCTTGAATAAGATGGAACAAATGAAATATTTAGAACGAAGCCAAGCATAAATAGCAACTATACAAAAGATACATTATAAGAACATTGAACGGATTAAAACTCCTCATGGTAATACTAAAAATTTCGTGTGGACCGGCTTCTTCTGATTTCAGACATGGTCATGTTGCAGCCTTCTTTTTGATTCCGTGTTGCACCATTTGGAAGCTTGTTTTCTGGTTTTCCAGCCAATAAAGGTTCTGCCGCTTGCATTAGTCCTCTGCATAAAACAGAACATAAGTAACACTGGTTCAGAATGAGCATCCGGAAAAAACAAATTATAAAGGAAAACCATTGCTTTGTAGATCATACCGCAGTTCAAGATTTATGTGGTTCCTTGGCAAGGGTTGCCGAAGCTTTTTTACCATCAAAGGATTATGCACGGGTGAAGAAATGAGGATATGCTCATTTTCTGGCTCAGAGAAGTCACTCGTTCGAGCCTCTTCCATCTTTTCACCGGCATCCAAGTTAGGAAACATTGTTGTCACTGCATCCGAATTTTGAATTCTAGCTGGTACCCGGTTCTGCTTGGCCTTAGCTGCCTTACTCTCATTCTTGATTTTTCTAATACCGCCTTGTCTTACATTAAGATTTTTCTTAAACTGCTCCTCTTCATGTTCTTGGTAAACTTTCTTGGAGTTGGCCTTCTGGAGGCTGTTTAATGCACCGAAAATGTCCTCATGCTTTGTTGGTTCTTGTGAACTGATGCATACCCTTGAGTTGGTGTCTGTTGATAGGAACACTGGCATGGTTGCAAGGGATTTATTGACAGGTGCTCTAGCTGGAAATGGTACTTTCGCAATAGGTTGGTTTTCGGTTGTGTCAGCCTTAACTCTACTTTTGATGAAGGCTCCTCTATCAGTAGATATTGATCTCCTAACTGGAGGTGATGGTGATCTGAGATTTCCAGGGATGACTAATCTGTCTTCAGCTAGTAATGGCATCTTCGGTGCAATCTCTTTGTCGGCGAATGCAGAGGGAAATCTCGACCGCCTTTGCTTGCCTGAAGAACAACTTCTAGCCTGAATGCCACCAAATTTAAGCACAAAAATGAAATGAACTTTTATCATCTGCTATCAAATTATTTCATTTGTTTGTAATTAAAGAACCTCCCAAGTCTAATGCTAACATTACTTCTCAAGAAAAATATAGTACCGAATTTCGACTATTTCATTCGCATGACGGAATTTACCTCAGAAATCTTAGTACCATCCAAGGGTCGCTGACAGTTTTCAGGCTTTGAACTGTTTCCAGTACCATTTCTCGGAACACGGAAAGGTGAAACAGCTCTTGACTTGTGGGATTCCATGACGTTTTGTGCGGCACCTTTGAATTGCTCAAGCTCAGCTTCCTTTCTCTCCAATGCCAGTTTAAGATTTGAAATCTACACAGATACAAATTAAGTCTTAAGCAAGCATTATAAAAAAATTAGTTGAAAATTTAAAGTAGAACTGCAGAAATGAGAGATAAACCTCGTCTTTAAGTTCACGGATTTCACCCGTTTCTTTATTAGATCGAGCTGCCCCAAGTTCGATGGATGCAACCCTCTCAGCAAACTTGAGGGTACTGATCGTCTCGCCGAGAGCATTAAGTTCAGGATTTATATGTACAAACATCATGGTCTTTGCATGACCACCTAAACACAGACAAAATTAAGATCATCGACATTTCAGCTCAAAACAAAATGCTAAGCACTTGGAATGGTGGATTCTATCAATAAGACTTAATATATTCTTAAATTTACCTAAAGAGTCTTGCAAGACTTGAGTAAGTTTGCTATTTCTGTAAGGAACATGTGTACTCTTTTGTGCAAGAGCAGATATGACATCTCCGAGTGCAGAAAGCGATCGATTTATGTGTTGGGCTTCCTTTAGCCTCTCGCCAACAGCCTCGGATTTATCAACTCTCTCGCTCCCGGCCAAATCCACAAGATGGAGGCAACCCCTTAGAATAGATCCAGTAGCCAACTCCTTTCCAAGTACATGAATTGTTAAAACACTGCGGAAGGAATAGCCAATCCAAAAATCACTAGTTAGAACACAAAAAAAACAAAAACAAAATGATGCTTAAACTTCACGAAAAGAAATATAAATCGTCCACCTATGAGACCGGCTGCTGCGCTCATTTAGAGCTGTAGCGCCAACAGTGCGATTCTTTTGGCCGATTTTCATCAACTCAAGAACATCTTGAGTGCACGTCACTGGAACCAAACTTGCATCAGGTACATTGAGGCCATTCAGTTGAGACTTGTTTCGTATATCTAACGTACCATATAAGTTAAGAAATAACATGACAACATTGTTTATAGAGCTTGTGAATTCGTAAGACCAAAACTTGGACTCAAATTGGAATAAAAATAAGGGAAGGGCAAGGATATCTTCTGCTAGAGCCATCGCTGACTAAAAGGTCTCTCACTTGTTCGTTGTATATTTCAATCATCTGAACTGCAACTTCATATCTTATTATGTCTAGCCTCGCCTTCGATATTTGAAATAAGTCACGAAGGGCTCTATAGTTTACACCCCATGTCTCTTCTGTTGTTAAATCAGGGCCACTCTGCGTAAGATAAGGATGAAATACGTATTCAATACTATCCGAAAATCAACATATGGAAGAATGGTCACGTCTATTTTCAAAACTACAATGAGATTGGCATTACCATCGTGTATGTCTTCCCCGAGCCAGTCTGTCCATACGCAAAGATGCAAGCGTTATAACCATCCAAAACCGACCTGATCAGCGGCTGAGTGTCACCATATATTTGCTCTGCAAAGAACAGTTGAGAGATAGCATTAATAATTTCTGAGGCCAAAAACATTAAGGTGTACAAACAATGAGAAGACTGTTGCAGTCTTGTTCATAGCTGATTGTATAAACTGCATACAATAGAAGTAGTACTGCAGTAACATATGTTCATTTTATTTCAATCAACATTAACTCCAATTTCCAAAATCATTTTACGACAGCGCTTTGAACACTTTGCTACAATAGAATACCTTGTGTGACATCTGTTCTGAAGACTTTGTTAAATGTAAAAACCCTTCTTGCATCTTTGCCCTGTTTAAGGGGATTGACAATCATGATGGTTCCATTTTCTCCGATATAATCCACAGTGGACTGTCCGTTTGATTGCCCTGGTAAGAAGGGTCTGATTCTGCAATAAACTCTAATTGATCCTGCAGGAAATCAAATCTTCTAAATAAGCTCCATATCTAGAAAGCTAGATAATTAATTAAACTGGGATGAAATGAACACCTTTAAGGTCTTGCACTTGATTGTAAAGAACTCGGTTCTCTTCGATAACTTTTTGGTAAGACGAGGATGCCACTTCGAGGCCTTTAATATGATGCACTGAGACGGAACAAAGTGAAAGTGTGAGGTCATCCAATCCCTACTAGTAACATAATGCAACTAAATGAATCCTTTTTGTAAAGAAATATTCTCAAGGTAGATCAAATCTTCAGAATTATTACCAAGCCTTCTGAGTTCCTCCTCCCAGTTTGAATGAACTTGTTTGACTTCGTATTTCGTCTCTTGGAAAGATGATTTGAGCTCCTAAAGATATCCAAGACAGACCAAGCAAACAGTTAGCAAGAAGAAAATCTGTCTTGCATTCTGCCGAACAGGAAAGGGAAGAAAAGCTATGTACTTGATCTATTAATTCACCTGCTAAATTTTCGTAATTCTATTTGCAGGAAACGGAACATTGTGTGCTCACCTCAAGCTGTTTCTGTTGAATGTTAATCAGTTCTTCATGAACAGATGAGTGACTACTACTACGCCGAACAGCTTCTCCATCTTTCCCACCACAAATACAGAACTTGGATAGATCATTTGACACCAAACCACTTCGTTGACCTAGGTATTGTGTAATAGCTTCTACAAATTCAGATTTCGATGGACTACCCAAGTCTCTTCTCAGTAGTTTCTTTAGAAAAAGGCCAAGCTGCAGAAAATTTGTAAAAACAAACAGGGATATAAGATTATTTCCATGAGCTGACAAATATCTGCTTAAATTGAAAAGACGATCCAGTGAAAGTACTTCAACAATCAACACAATGCTAGTAACAGAAACACCGTGGGGTGAAGATTTTTAACATACCTGAGTGGCTTGTGAAACAAGCAGTGCTGAGAAATCCTTGACTACCTTACTCAGTAAAGTATCGATTACCTATATGTTTTTTGTCACTAAACTGAATCAGAATCTATTCAGCAAGTATAAAAGAAGTATGTAATATACGCGTGTTCTATAATTTGTGAAAATAGAATCATATTAATGGTAAGGATCTTACCTACCATTGCATTCAAGGGCAAGTCTTTGATCCCATTAGCCTCTCGAAGGTAAGCTTGTATAAGTCCAAGTCCAAAGCGATCGAAAAGGAAAGCCAGAGCATTCACAGTTCTGGATTCTTCGGTTGACACCTCACTGGAAAGATGAAGAAATTCCAACAGTTGTTCAAACTGTGATGAGTCTGATTCGTCTATTGACTCATCAGCACTTTCACTCCCTAAGGAGGAAAGTGACCCTTTTGGGAAGGATGTGATCCTCACAGTCCCTCCATACCTCCAAACTCCAATTCCACCGGCTTGCTTCCATTCATAAAACCCTTTGAGACAAAGAATGCAGTCTACAACTTTGCTCGACGAGCCTCCCTGCAAATCCAAATCCCTTAAAATCCCGAAAAGGAGACAGTAGAAGCTATGATTTATGACGAAATGTTGCAAACTATGATAGAATCCAACCCTTCTGCAATTTTTCTACAAGGAAACCAAACCTTTTCGAGATCAGATGCTTCGAATGTCAAGAGCTGCATGTCCTTAACAGCCTCAAGGAAATTCCTCATGTTCTCAAAATACTGAATTGCAGACTGTGCAGCCCCCTCCGTTGACTGAACGGCAATGATAGGATTTTCCACCACCTATTTGAAATCCAGCAAAGAAAGCAACCCAATTAGAACTTCGAAAACTAAAAAAAAAGCTGCCACAACAAACAACAACAACAACCAAGCGTTATAAATTCTAGAATGCCACTGCATGGTTTTGCGAAAACTCAAAACAAACCCGCCACAAGTTTTAAAAAATAATCAAAATTGTGAATTATGATGACCATAGATGTAGCACAATTCCTTGCAAAATGAAACAACTGGGAGTCATGCATATGATATAACACCTTGTTTGGTATCTAGGATTTGACTGGAATGGATAACCATTATATTCGCGCAGTTTTTTCATTTCTTCATTCAATATATTGAATATAGTGGACTCTCCATTTCAATCAGTCCTAGAGACCAAACGAGGCCTAACCATCTAAATTATGGATATGTGTAATAACCTTAAGAACAGCACCAGGATTGACTTTGTTGAGGACGTTGCAGAGAATAAGGCCATTGCGGAGTGCAAGGCGGAACTCTTCTTCAGAGGGCTCTTTGGAAAGTGTTCCGGAAGCGCCATAGTCCATCTTCCGCAGCCATTCTGCTGCTTGGTATCTCCTTGAAGCTAGAATAACACAAACACAATCAATGTTCTGAAAATCGCAAGCTAGTAGTCAAGCAGCGGTTAAGGGCCTAGGCAGTTTATAGGGGCTAGACGGTTTTTTATTTTAATTGAACTTAATATATAAGATATAAATAATTATCCACCTATACTTAAAAAAAATATGTACTTGTGTTCGTAAACACGAATTCTCAAATAGAATGATAAATAAATTATAAAATACTATAACATATTGAAACTTAGGAAACAAACATATAATAAGTATTCATCAAAGTATTCAATAAATCTATTACAATTTAATAAAAACATAAAATGCAAAAAGGCGGGCGCCTAGGTGTTTCTAAAAGCCCTTTTGTTAAAAAAAAAAGGCCTAAAAATTAATCTAGCTGTGGCTTGTGGCCTAGTGCCTAGGTCCTAGGCGAGAACTTTTAATTTTAAAAAACACAAAGACACAATCACAAACGAAATTTAGGTTAAGACTTAATTGCAGAACAAAAATTTATTTAGTGAATTTTGGGTTTATTATCTTTTAAATTTGGATTGTTTTTGGTACTTTGTAAGTTTCCACAGCAACTTCATTTGTAGTTAGTAGAGTAAATTTTCGGCGTTACCATCACCCTCTGCTTATTACACTCTCGCTTAAGTCGATGACATATCAATCATGTCGTCTACTGTAGTATAATGTGGATTAATAATACCATATAAGAGTGTGACCGTCACACCAAAAATTCATGAAACTTTCGAACTTCCTTAACGCCACCTCCGGTTCATATCAAAACAAATTTTATGTCCAAGATTTCAGTCATTTTTTTTTAACAAATTACAATTCGTCTCAGTCATTTTTCAATCCTGAATTTCAAATTTGAAACAAGTTGACACTATGGCTATGACTAGTTGCACTTTTATTTCCACCAACCCCACTAAAAAATTAAAAATAGTGATGCTTGTAGAGATGGCCTTAACCGCATAATTAAAGTGTATTTTTGCAAATTAATTTATGCTAATCTAAATCCTTCTTTCGGCAGATCAATATGTATATATCAACAAAGATGGGTAATTTTGAACCCACCCAATATTGGTTGGTCCAAATCATCATAATTCATAAGTGATCGATATATAAAATCATTACTTACAAAATACTTCATATTTGCTCTTCCTTTTACTTTTTCTATTTTATCACATACTTTATATTTGTTCCCAGAGTTTACAAATTTTTTAAAAAATCATAACATGTATCACAATGTAGAAATGATATCACATACACCGTCCGATCAAAGATCCAACTACTCAAGCATTGTAACATATATATTTATGAACTTCTTATTTAACTATCTAACCTACGAGCAATTGTTTAGTGTACCGGATTGTGTTTCTAGCACAGTAAAAAATCTCTCCTAACCTACCCACCCATGAGTCAAGTATTAAAGATTCCAAACCGCTGCTCCCAAAACATAGATGAATTGAGACAAATTATTTATTTATTTTAATGAAAGAGCTAAGACAAATTTATAAGTAGAAAAAAAAAACCACTACCCCAAAAATATTAATATTTTGAACTAAAACTCTGGAAGAAAAGTCTCCTAATTTTTTGGCTAAAATGTAATTAAAGAACAAATGTACCTGCTTCTTCAGCTTTCCTTTGAGCCAATTCATAGTCATTGATGAACTCCTCAGTGTTTGCAAATGGAGGAGCCTCACTGTTGGAGACTAGACCCTTTAAGCCTCTCATGTTCTTGCTAGGTGATGTGAAGAATATTGAATTAAAGTTGCTTTCTTGTGGCATTTTTTAGTTCTCCAAGAAATTATATACTACTTGTTCTTTATTCTGCAACCACTGCACAATTCAATAAAATAACAAAAAAACATAGTTAGAACTGGACAAACAAGGAACCTTGATAACTAAAACTTTTTTTTTCTTTTGATACAAGCCACATTGTCGAGGAGATTCAAACAAGGAACCTTGATTGCAGCCTAAGCGCTCTTAATCATTTCAGCTACAAACATATTGCGTGATTAAGAGAAGGGTAGTGCAAAAATCACTTCTGTTAAGAGAACTTACATTCTTACAAACAACGAAGGAGTGAAAGAGGCAGAGTTTGGTGGCATAACATAGTGAAAGAATGTATCACACAGAAAATGAAAATTTAGAAACATTGATCATGATCTGAACGAGTGCAGTGTGTTTGTGAGGCTCTTACCTTAAAAGGGTCTTGAAAACTCTGGAAATTAAACCAACCCAGGAAATTAAAATGGTATTTTGTGAGTTGGATCAGTAGTTGAAGTTGAGCTCAGCTTGGCATTGAATATTTTAGATCTGATCCGAGCCAGAAATGGAAGTTGAAAGCAAGCTTCTCGTGTGCTTGTGATAACGAGCCTTCAAAATTGAGTATGACCTCACTGGATGCTTTCTATGTGAGAGGAAGAGAGAGTGAGAGTCCAGTTGAGTGAAATATTAAAAAGACTCTGCAAATTGAAACGTTGTTGTCTCGTGGGGTTGAGAGGGGTTAGCTTAGCAAAAAATATAAAAACAGATCAAAGTTTGAGGGTGAGTTTGACTTGGATCTTGTCCCTCCGTGTGGTGAAAGTATTTATATGGAACGTGTTTACCGTCACTGTGGTGTCATGTTTTAATAAAACAATGATATGTGTAAGTTTTTCAACACATGACATTGTATTATTAAATTGGGACGCCACATGACGGTGAACTTGTTTCATCTAAGTTGCTCTTCTCTATGTGGCTGGGGTGAACCCAAATCAAGTTATGGGAACGGGTAGTCCCAGACTTCACATGCTTTGCTATCAATATAATTAGGTATTTATCTCCACTTGTAAGTAGACTGTCTCAGGTTCAACTTCCGTGAAAACAATATTGATACTTGATTAGAGCTATTACATTAATTTGCAAGTATTCCAATATCCTAGTGCACAAGGTGTTGAGTTTCTACCCATGCATCTCTGTTTAAAATTCCCCTCTTCCGTAATTAATGTAATTCGAATATTTCTCCCTCTCCTTAATAATAATAGTTTTTTTTTTTTAAAGTTATGTAGTTTTGTCCAAATCCTCTCATTATCATAATATTTAAAAAGGAAAATGATAAACACATATTTTTTTTAACCTCTGACACACACTTGTTTAATTTTGTCAGTATAATTATTCCATCCTTTAACCAGAAATAAATTTAAAAAAAAAAAAGTGAGAAGCTAACAAATTTGTGTGAAATCACTTAAAAAAAGAGTAGTTTGTTGTGGGATCATAGGCTAAAATAAAACTACTTTTATAAAAGCATTGTTTCTTGGTCGACTTTGGAGGTACCATAACGCATGGTTTGGCCTCTATTATATATCCTTCATGGTGCTGTTGGCCATATACATGGCCTTTTTTTGTTTTGAATATGATATGATCGCTCGCTAGCGGTAATAGTGATACCAATTATATGTCTTCATCATTAAGCTTGTAGGTTGATTAATCTTAATTTTGCCCATAATCTATCCGACTTATCCATTTTAGCGTGACTCTCATGGTTATTCCTGTGGAGTGGAACAACGATAATTCAGGTCCATAGAGTATATAGTCATTATTTTAAGAGAACTTATCTCTTGTTAAGCAATCATACTACTGGGGGGTTAGCCGTTTCTAGTCACTCTAAGTGAAATGGAAGTAGTCTACTTTATAGTTGATGGCTAATCTCGAAGTCTTAATTCTTTCTAACCGCCTTGTGTGGGTTTAGAGAGGAAGTCTACTATTGTAGTTTGATGATCAAACCTTATATGTAGTTCGATTCGCTTAATCGGTTATCATCCTTTAAAAAAAAACAGTCATACAAGTTATGTTATTAAATTTCAAGTTTAGATTATTGATCAACTTTCCTATTTAAACGTACGGTCCATATTAACAATCTTACAACACAATGTACCAAATTAATTAAGAAGAGATGTGTTTTAGTGAGCCCCATTATTCTCTAATTAATCGGCGATTATTGTTCTAAAAATTTTGAGCTGCAGGACCTACCAAAGATGTCCATTACATTCTTTAATTTCACCAATATCTGGGTGTTTTGTGAAAAAGAAACGGATGGTTTGATGAACAATCCCAGCAGATTGTTCTGATTTAATTCAGAATAGATCAATTAATTATTAATTTAACTGTAAGTTACTATTCATTCATTTCATAGATTTAATTATTTAACGTGCATCTTAATCAAATGACACTTTGCCATATTGATGTAGTTGGTGTCAATCAGGAAAAGCAAGTATCAGCTTTCAATAAATTTCCTCAGCTGGTGGTGGCTGGGTCACGTTTTGATGAAATAAAGGCAAAAATTATTGAAAGTATACGTTAGCGTTTTATTGTTTGAAACGAAGAAGAGGCAAAGTCCAATATATTCGGTCCACTTTCGAACGTTGGATCACCCCCCACCTTCAAATGATTGCAGAGGGAAAGCTTTTCAAACCTTTTTTTTTTTACATTTTGTACCCTATTTAATGGACCACTTAGTGGAAGGGTTCTCTTTATCAATGGTCTTAGATAATTACTTTACTAATTAACTTTTGTTTTGGTTAGTTAATTAAAGCTATGTGTGAGACGGCTTCTCTTTTAAGCATGTATTGTGGTCAAAATTGTTAGTAAATTAAAGGCAAAACAAGAAAGAATCATTAGTATACTGGTCAAATGCCAATTACCATGTTAAGAGATTTTTTAATGTACTGAAAACACGATTTAGTACACCAAGTGTATAAATAAAATTGGTTTAAAACTTAAAAAAAATAAAAAAATTCAACCAATTGGTCGTGTGTTCCGGCAGTGGAAAATTTCTCAACCATATATAGCTCCCTTATTTCCCTGCTGCACATTGCATTAGATTTATAACTCTTCAAATAGTTCTGTGAGATTCATGGACAACTCAATGCTCATGCAAATCTCGATTCATACAGAATTATAAAATCGTATGAAAATTTTGAGTAAAAAAAAAATTCAAATGAGAGATCATTGAGTCATCTAAACGGTTCATCATGAATCTATTATTTAGTACTTACACCATCGGTTAGTTTCATACATGATGATTTTTAAATGAAGATTAAGAAATTGAATAGTTCATATTATAAAGTTTATACAATTAATATACATTATGTGAAAGAAGTGGGATATACGGATTCCTCATTAAGGAAAGCATTATCCTATTGAGATTGTATGGCATAACCCTTATTCCTAGCTATAGAGAAAGGGGAATATGTTAACACCAGGAAATGAGCACTCATTCTATGAACTAGGTCAACTTTAAGTCAGATCTTTTCTTAATTTTGACGGAAAAATGATGTTATCTGGCACGAGATGAAAATGATTATTTGGGTACCCCGGCCATTATATAATTCAGGCATGCTATACTCCTTTTGTGTGCTTGGTTTAGAGGGTAGGAAGGGATGGGCAAATACCCATTGGTTATGGGTAACCATTGTTACCAGCCCATTTAAATTAAACGGTTACGGTTATAGATAACCATTTAGATAAATAAATGGTTATGGGTAACCGTTGTTACCAGCCCATTTAAATTAAACGGTTACGATTATGGGTAATCATTTAGATAAATAAATGGTTATAACCGTTGTTACCAGCCCATTTAAATTAAACGGTTACGGTTATGGGTAACCATTTAGATAAATAAATTGTTATGGGTAACCTTTGTTACCAGCCCATTTAAATTAAACGGTTACTGTTATGGGTAATCATTTAGATAAATAAATGGTTATGGGTATAACCGTTTACCCGCGAAATTTAAATAAGCAGTTATGGGTATTAACCGCGGTTATAAACGGTTAATCATTTACCCATTTATTTTATATATGTAAAACTAACACAACTATGTTCTCGATCCAATAATACTTAGCACCTAATAAATTAGCAAGGAATTCATCGGTCATTTTATCAATAACACTGCTACAGGAATGATGATTCTCATTATCAAGGAATTCGCCAAATTAATTTAAATTTCTTGCGGGTAACCGTGAAATTGACAGAAATATCTTCTAAACAATTTTTGTAACCCAATAATACTTAGCAAATATTATATTTACCTTCATTGGTAACAGTTAAAAATATTGTCCGTAAACTATTATTTCAATTATTGGAATGGTATAAGAACTTAAAAATTTAAAATACGGAAATGTATGATGAATGTACCTATAACGGTGTTTAATTGTAAAAAAAAAAAGAAAATTATGACAGTTTTTTTTTTTTTTTAAATTTTCAAGTTGTTAAAAAGCATGTAGACGAGTGAAAAAAGGGTAACGGTAAAAAAAAAGATAAACGGGTTAAAAACGGTAAATGGATAAACGGGTATTAAACGGTTACGGTTAAATGAGTATGCGGTTATGGGTATGGTTAACCGTTTATAAACGGTTATGGATATAGGTATAACCGTTTAGGCAATTACCCAACGGGTAAATGGTTATGCAGGTATGAGCATAAACGGTTATGGGTAAATAACCGCGGTTACCCATCCGCCATAACTGTTGCCCATCCCTAGGTAGAAAGCTCGACTAGGGTCAAAATATTATGGAAATAAACACAAAATAAGGGTTTGGTTTGATAATAATTTCGATTTTATTTTTATTTACTTTTCTCATATCTCAAATATAAAAATGTAAAAATTAAAAACTAAAAACTAAAAACGAAATGGTTACTTGAGCTAAAAAATCGACAACAAAAACACGAAATGGTTACAAACTTGTAAGCAACTGCACGCCTGGTGATGCTGTTGAAGATAGCAGTTTCTGTGAAGTCAAAAAGGACTATAATTCCTATAGCATGCTAATCAAAACCGAAGTTTCCACTGTCCTTTTCCTTTCTCTTTCTTTCTATCTTTTGGTTTTAAGGTGACGAAAGTGTTCCTTCCCTTTTGGGGCTGTATGCACATATATGCATAATCAAAGGTGGACTCGATTAGTTTTAGCCAAATTTATGGGCTGAATCATTTCTCAAGTGGGGTGAAAGTTGCATCCAAGAAGTTCATACACTGGAGTTATATCATTGGAAGGATTTTTTACTATGAACACTTTTAGCAACAGGAGTACACACTTGACACCATATCCCATTGGGTCCTTGCTCTGATATAGCCCAAATCAAAATCAATGGATTTATACATTTTCCTCCCTGTATTTTGAATAAGAAATGGTTTTAACACTTCCTTTATTATCTATGCAGAAGTAATGATTTATACATTTTCCACCCTGTATTTTGGACGACAAATGGTTTTAAAGCTCGCTTTATCTATGCAGGATATAAGGTTGTTATAAATATCGATGGAAATAGCACTTTCACTTGTAAGTAAAATGTCTCATGTTCAAGTCACATTGATAATAGAAAATTAGATTTTAATCCTTAAATAAGATGAAGTTTAGAAAAATGTCTTCTACAAGATTAAAATTTGATTTTAGTCCCTAAACTCTATTTAGCCTTGGTTTGGCATTGAGGTGCTTAAAAAAAAAGCTACTTATTTTTTAAGTTTTTATGTTGAACGTGTTTGGTAAACTAAGAAAAAAGGGGGATTATTTTGG